ACCACACTCTCCCAAGTGAGCCACGGGCCGGCCATCCCTATATAGGGATCCGAACCCATGGCCTTGGTGTTGTCAGCACCACACTCTCCCAAGTGAGCCACGGGCCGGCCATCCCTATATAGGGATCCGAACCCATGGCCTTGGTGTTGTCAGCACCACACTCTCCCAAGTGAGCCACGGGCCGGCCCCCCCGTCATTTCTCATGACCCGAATTCCTTCCTGGGGTTAGAAGGAGCAATGCCTCCCGCAACTTCACGGGGCCGAGGAGGCTGCCCCTGCGTGCTAAAGGCCCCTGCGAAGTGTCTCTGTAGCTCAGAATATTGCCCCTGTGGGCTCTGTCCCAGTTCTTATCTTTTCTATGCCATGTCTATGTTTTAGATTAAGTCACTGGAGACTACTTTGAAAACGTAAATAGTATCTCCAGGGATTGACCTTCGGNACAGGGACCAGGACTGGGGAAATAAGGAAGGAAAGTATAGCCAGTCAAAAAAAAAAAAAAAGGGGGAGACTTTTTAGGAAACACTGTTTTGAACCCAGCAGGTCCGTTGTCTTTGGCTTGAAAGCAGAGCCAAGTAGATGTGAGCTCAGCCACAGTTAAAATTCAGCCCTTTCCTGAAGCAACACACTCACACATGTTACTTCGGGTGGTCTCTGCAGCAGCCAGTGAGGCAGGGGCTGCAAACTCGCTCTTAGAGGCAAAGGCTACCACTCAGAGGGGTTCAGAGGCAAGCTCAAGGTCGTTTGACTGTCAAGCTCAGCTCCTCGGACCTCCTAATGTTTTCCCCTGAAGCTAGCATGTTCCCCAGTAGGAATACCCATAATACTGAGAACTGAACCCGAAAACATCATCAAATGAAGCTAGATATTATTCAAGGTATAGTGTTGATAATAATTTCAAGAGAACATCCACTCAATTCTGATGCTTTTCTTTTTTTCCTTCTTCTAACCTGAAGAATGACCTCAGTTTTGGAGTAAAAGAGTGAAAAGGGATCTAACACTGTTCAGTGAAACAAATCTTCACTGTAAATAGATGTAATTTCATTGTTATTCATGCTAATAATAATAATAAAATAATCAACAATATTACCATTACTAATAATCAATTGAAATAACTTTAAATAATAGGTTTACAGGGCACTCACCATAGTTCAGGCACTGCATGTATTGTTTGCATTAAGCCCACAAAAGATGAGGAAACAATTATTATCCCCAATTTTGCAAGTGAGGAAACTGAGGCACTGAATTAAGGAACTTGACTGAAGACTAAGGCCAGGACTGGTAGTGAGGCACCAGGGGTACAAAGTTTAAGGTGGCACTCACTGTCAGGGTCATGGAAGTGCGGAGCTGGCACCTGACAGGAAGTGCTGCCTTAAATTTTGCACCATGAACACCTCACTCATTAATATGCCAAAGCTCACAAGCAGCAGAGCTGTGATCTCTCTGGAAACTCAGATCTCTCCAGCTTCAAAATACACTTTCCTAACCACCAGGGCAAACTCCAACCACTGTGCCAGCTGCTGTCAGGAATGCAAAGGCCTGCCAATCCAGCAGGTCCCACTGGCCTTGAACGGTGGGTGGGTTTTAAGAGAGAAGGTGGGAGGTAGGGATTTTTCAGCCGAGGAGAACTGAAAGAAGGGCAAAGACATGGAAACGGTTTGCTTTTGTTTTCGTGTTTTTGGAAAAGGTTTCCTTGAGGTCTACAGTGCCAGTCTCACTGCTTCCTGTCTGTCCCCAACCTGTGTCCTACAATCCTGTCTAGGTCTCAAATGTCGTTGACACTCTCTCCCTCACAAGATCTGAGTGCAGAGGAGGTGGCCCAGGCAGAGACTCACTGTGTGTAAGACATGGAGCCAGGCACTGGGGGCAGGCACAGCCACGAAGGGGAGGTGACCGGAGCCAGGTGATCACAGCACACTGTGATTTCCTGCAGCGCCCAGGCAGAGACTCACTGTGTGTAAGACATGGAGCCAGGCACTGGGGGCAGGCACAGCCATGAAGGGGAGGTGACCGGAGCCAGGTGATCACAGCACACTGTGATTTCCTGCAGCGGCAAAAGTGAGCATGTGCCGAGTGCAGTTTCGTTTCATTCTGTCCCACAGGTTAAACAACGGATGCGCTTGACACCCTTGCAAAGAGCATGAAACCCTGCTCCTCTCACCTCCTGTCAGTGCAGAACAAGACTGGCCTTGGTTTTCCCGGAGAAAGCCAGGAGCATATTGTACATCAGCATCGTTTGACTTTTATGAATATAAAGAGGTGCTCTAGCTAAGTCCGGGGGCCACTATTGATTGGTGGTGAGGAGGAGGGGTACACGACATTTCCAGGTGGCAGCACTTTCTCCTTTTTTCTAGAGATAAAGGTTAGAATCCACCTTTGGAGGCACATGACTTTTATTTTTATAGATGACGATCACCTCAACGGGCCTTGATTTTGCCCAGAAAAAGCCAAGATCTTATTCTGAAATTGGGAGTTTTTAACTAATGAGGGGCTACCATGCTCAGCAAAATACTTTCAAAGAGTGCTCTCCCTGTAGAAAGACCGACCCAAGCCTCAGGGTAAGGGAAGAAAGCTGTTGTTGGGTCTTTTATTTTTCTCTGGACCTCAGTTAGTTGAGAACTTGAACTCAGGGAATTCATTGTCAATGGTAGGCCTTTTGTTGGAAGGAAACTAGCCCTACAATAGAATAGATGGGTGGTTATAGAGGGTGGGGTTGGGTTTCCATGGAGGGTCTCGGCTTTTGAAGCTCTCAGCCTTGGTTTAACTGTGCTTTGGGACATTCAGAGGAGGGCTTGTTTCCCTGCTGGGAGCAAAGTAAATGGAAGAGTGGGAAAGGCCTAAGGAAAGCTGTTTTACTGGCACAGAGAGGTGGTCTTCCTATCAACAGTGGTCTGGAGCCAGACGATTGGCAGAGCAAACACCGGGAGAGATTTGTAGACCATGTAAGCATTCCTTGAGGATTTCCAGAAATATCTGGAGAGGGAAGGCTGGTAAAGGACTAGACTTTCTGTGGTCAAGTGAACTGGAGGGATAAGATTATGGCTATTTCCGAACTAAAGTTCAGGGTTGCAAGAGAAAATTAAAATTAAATCTGGGAAGTATGTGCTTTGAGGGAGTCAGTGCTTTTTGATTCAGTTGGACCCAAAACAAGTCTGCAACTTGCAACTTAATCTGGGTAAATCCTTCTCAATAACAGTGAAGCCATGTGAAGGGAAGAGCCTTAGCCAAATAACAAGAAAGGATTCATCGGCCTTTGCTAAGTGTAAAACAGAGCGCCCTTCCTTGGATAAGCAGTCTCTCCTACAGTGCCAGGCGGAGGGCGACAGTGCTGCCCAGGACAGTGCTGTGGGGTGAAAACACAGTCAGACGACCTGGGGCTCAAGGTTAGATGATCTGGGAGAAAGTGTTGTACAAACATCAGTCACTGTTTTTATTGGCTGAAAGAGGATAAAATGAATAGGTGTGGTCTTTCTCAGATGACTTCTAATTCTATATCAAATCTTGTTTTGGAACAAGTCTGAGCATAAGGAAATGAACCCCATTTACTTGGCTTATGTCTCCCACCTCTCCTGCTGTCCGTGGAGCCCAGTGTCCCAGCAGCTGAGCTGGTGAACTGTGAGGCCTGTGTATTTACCCAGCACCTTCTTTATGGAGACAGCAGAGAAAGGCGAGGTCCCCTTTGGATAGAACTAACTGCAAGTGAACATCCTGAGCACACACTGTCCATTCTACGGGTGCTGGTTTTTATTCAGCTCGTGGAAAACGAGGCGGAGGGTGTGTTCTCTGTCTGGGCTGGGCTTGGCCTGGACCCCAAATCTTAGCTGGGTCCTGTAAGTGAACATCCTGAGCACACACTGTCCATTCTACGGGTGCTGGTTTTTATTCAGCTCGTGGAGAACGAGGCGGAGGGTGTGTTCTCTGTCTGGGCTGGGCTTGGCCTGGACCCCAAATCTTAGCTGGGTCCTGTGGTCCTAAAGGAAATCAACTGAGAAGTGAGGCTGGGCAGGCCAAGCCCATCCCTGAGACAGGGACACCCTCAGTCATGACTCAAGGAGCAAGTGAAAGAGGAGGAGAAGGAACTTGGAAGCAGGACCCAGGAGAGGATTTGAGTCCTAGCTGTTGGGCAGATAATCAGCCTCGATGTTAGTCTCTAAAATGGAATGGTACTCTCTGGCTCACCTACCTGGCCATGAGAATCACAGCGCCCAAAGACAGGAAAGTTAGTGATTTACGGGGTCTTCTTCCAAATACAACCTTTTAAATTATTTGATTGCTTTAAGTTTGGTACCTGTATATCAATGGGACGGTTGCAGATTTTTCCTGGGTAAGCTGCCCAGAGGTCCGAAATCTTCTCCCCACCTTTAGTCTGAGATACTTTATCATGGTCGAACCATTCTGTCCACTCCACATCTAGGCAGAAAGCAAAGAGCATGGTCAGGAAGTTGTCTGTGAGGGCAAGTCACATTCAATGTAGTCCCCAAGCACCCTTGTCACAGCAGGAGTTGAATATTATCTGTCCATGATTGCACCAGGCTGGGGAGTGCGTGTGTGGCTCTTAAACAATCTGCCAACTCTACCACCTCTTGATAAAAAACACCTCTTATTGAGCTTCTTATTTTATAAAAGCGTTATAAGTTCTTTGCTATTGCAAAAGTAAATGAATAAAAAGGAGAAAAATAAAATTCATTCTTAAACTCATGATCCAAGGATTGCCACTAGGATTGCGACTTTCTGCAACCCCTGCATGTGGGCTATTTGAAGGCTGAGTGCTACTCCTGTCTGTGCTTCCTGTTCAGTGCCATTGCCTGGCACACAAAAGGTATTCCATGAACTTCACTAAAAGCCATGGACCCCTAAACAGGGAGAAAACTTGTTGGGCTATTCGCCAGTGCGACTTGATTGATTAAAGACAGATTTCACTTGCAAATTTCTAGTTGACTCTGCAATAGTTAAGCGGTCCTACTGGTACAAAAGAAAAATCCTCGTTCTACAAAACAGTGATTCCTGGCCTTCTATTCCTCTTTTAGGTTTTGTCAAGTTGTCTCAAGCTCCTCACCTTGAACCCACTCACTGGACGAAGAAACATTGAAATACTCGCCGTGCTCTGACTGGAACAGTTTGTATACCCGGGCAGCAGCGGAGCCACGGTGGCCTGTCAGAGAGACCAGACACTTTAGTAATCGAGCAGACCCTCACACTCAAAAGGTTATGATTCCAAGGCAGAGAAAGCCCCAAACACATGTGGATCTGGAACTATTTCTTTAAAATTTTTTTAAAGATAAAAAAAAAAATCAGGCCATTTCTTTCACTTGGAAATCAGATTATCACCCATCCTTTTGTTTCAGTTTTGGAATTTTAGTTGCAGCACTCCAACAAATCCAGATTTTGGAGCCCCGTCATTTCTTTCTTTCTTTTTTTTTTTTTTAAAGATGACCAGTAATGGGATCTTAACCCTTGACTTGGTGTTGTCAGCACCACGCTCTCCCAAGTGAGCTAACCGGCCATCCCTATATAGGGATCCGAACCCATGGCCTTGGTGTTGTCAGCACCACACTCTCCCAAGTGAGCCACGGGCCGGCCCCCCCGTCATTTCTCATGACCCGAATTCCTTCCTGGGGTTAGAAGGAGCAATGCCCCCCGCAACTTCACGGGGCTGAGGAGGCTGCCCCTGCGTGCTAAAGGCCCCTGCGAAGTGTCTCTGTAGCTCAGAATATTG